GGGTTTAGGGTTTACGGTTGAAGGGTTTAGGGTTTAGGATTCAGGGCCAGGGTTTAGGGTTTGGTCCCGCAGATGCTCGGTCCAGGCGGTTGGGATCTACTTTAACCTACCAAAACCTACTTGTCTGTAGGGTCCCTAGAAATTCTATACTCGGGTTTATAACAAGGACCTACAGACAAGTAGGTTATGGTAGTGTACTTGGAGACCCAGAGGACTTAGTAAGTCGGTTATAAGTAGGGTTATAATTGGGGTAACTCCATTTAGGGTACTTATAACTCTACTTATAACCCACTTACTAAGTCCCCTGGGCCTCTAAGTAAGGTAGGGCTTATGACTTAGGGTTTGGCGTTTAGGGTTTAGGGCTTTCGATTCCGGGTGCGGGCGTCGCGCGGTTTGAACACTTAGCACTGAAGCGTGCTTAACTGAGATGGCGTCGCCTTTCTGTTTTTGTGCGATATGGGAGTTTCCGAAAACAAGGGGTGCCTTACTTTGGAGTCCTTATAATAAGGATTTTTATTATTTGGGGTACATACTAGGGTCCCCTAGTTTCGGAAAACCCCCATGTGGTAGGCTTGCTTGCTAACCTTTCTCAGGAAATTGGCCTTACACGCAAAGATGCGCCATTTCCGTGGATACAACAAGCGTGTACGCTCAACTACGCCCTATTCCTTGTGGGCCTGGGTCCATATGTCATATGTCTGCTTTAGACATCCGTGCCTCGTTGCCAGCTAAGCCAGGGCCTATTTCTCGATTCAACACTGGTCTTAGGCGTCTTCAGCGTTCCCAGACGCGTGTTGAAGAGATCCTGCAGAAACACTTGCTTCAAAGCTCACTTTTGGATCGCTACTCTCCTTCATTTTGCATCTTCCGAACGTTCATGCGGCTCCGGACCAAACCCCTGTTCTAATTCACAATATGCTTCCGTGTAGTTTGTACTCGTATAGTATAATGTAACATAATCTAACATAGTTATGGAGTCTAGTTATAGTTTAGACGTAGCAAAAATTAGAGTATGGTTGGCTATAGTATGATATAACATAATAATAGTATAGTACAGTATCGTATAGTATACTATAGTATAAGATAGTATCGTTTAGTATAGTATAGTATAGTATCGTATAGTCATAGTATACTAGTAGTATACTTACAGTATAACTATTGTCTTGATCTAGCATAGTAGTATGCCCAACACCTTTCATGATCAAGGCCGGTCTTTTGTCTTGGCTGCTCGTGTTGCAAGCCCATCTGATGCCATACGCTGACCCTAGAATTACTTGTGGAGGGTTCAGAGCGAGCCAGGGTTTATAAGGTTTCGGGTAGCAGGAGGAGGAGAAGGAGGAGGAAGAGGAGTTGTAGTCGGCCAAGGAGGAGGACCACAACTCCTAGCAGTCTACGTAGTCCTGTTCATGATTACTATCGTCATCAGAGATTTATTGCTGTTTCGGCGCAAGAGGTGATGACGAAACGCGATCATCCCAAACCCTACCGACCCGAAACCCACATCCTTTAAGCCTATCGACCCTAATCCCTCCCTGGAAGCCCACCAATAGTACCTTTTTTTCGCTTTTTTTCGGGAATTTCTATCCTAAACCCCTCAACCCTAAATTAAACCCCAAACCCTAAACCCTTCGGAACTTCTAGATCGGGCCAGGGTGCAGCCCTCGCTGATGCTCTACTTCGCCTCCTTGATCGCCATCGTCTCCATCTCCGTCATGAATCTGGTGCCTAGGGTTTAGGGTTTAGGATTTAGGATTTAGGGAATCTGGTACCTTGAACCCAAAAGCCCTAAACCCGTGATTTGCGAGGGTCCCAATGACTAGTTGTTAATACTAAGTAGTCAATGGGAAAGGGCTTGTATAGTATTGAAAACAGCTATGAAATCGAAAGTGGTTTGGTGTTACAGTTGCAAAAAATGCACAGACATACATAGCTGCGGATCAGGGATATGGACAGGAATATGGCAACCATACGACAGCATGGGGTTTCCTGCATTTTCTTTCAAGTATATGTCATTTCCATGCCACATGTTCGCATGTTTTCTTCCAAACAATGTTTCCCTTACCCTGCTAGCTCGGACTGGCTCCAGACGCCGGGGTTTCAGTTGGGGAAGGTAGATATGGAGCACACATATTCCCCACTAGACCTATACTGGAAGAAGTTTGTGTTCTCGTTCATATCCGGATGTATACTGGAGTTTCGGATCCGTGTCTCTCAACCCTGACACTGGACCCTAAACCCTAACCCCTAAACCCTAAACCCTAAACCCCAAACCCCTAAACCCTAACCCCTAAACCCTAAACCCTAAACCCTAGACCCTAGACCGACCCTAAACCCTAAGCCCATATTCTGAGCCATGTTTCTGTCAAGAACCCTGTTTGGGCAACTCATGGCTTCTGCAGGGGCATTCGGATCCGGGCTACTTTGAAACCTTTGGTGGCGTGGTGTGGTGAAGATCGGAATGATAGACGGGCCTGCATGGTTCGTAATAGGGTTTAGGGTTTAGGGTTTAGGGTTTAGTATTTCCACAGGGTTCCTAAACTGTCTTCGATATAGAACTCCAACCCTACATCCTAAGCGCTACAAACACCTGGGTTTAAATACTCAAGCCGCTATAGCGCCGGTTCAGGCATCAGGCTCCTCGGGTTTGGTTCTGGGTTTACAGGTTGTAACAAAAGCAGCAGGTCAGATAATCATGCTAGTAGTAGTGCTGCAAGGATGAGAACCAAAGCAGCAAAGCAGTCGAGGTGTTGAGTATAATGAAAACCCTAAACCCTAAACCCTAAACCCCAACCCTAAGCCGCAATCCCGTTCTTCAGGCCCTGAGCCCTGAGCGATAAGCCCTGAGGTCACTGCGGCTCTGGTAGAAGGCACCTTAGAGAATGCTCGCATGCTGCGACAGGAGGAGGACACGAAGAGCTAATGTTGAGCAGCGGTTTACAGGGTCTCCCAGGGGTTAGATCAAGTCTGAGAGGATCTCAGAGGCAGGGTTTTCCGGGCGAGATTTTCTGGTTTATGAGGTGGGCTTTACCCCTAAACCCAAAACCCAAAACCCTAAACCCTAAACCCCTGTGGGACTTTGGGAAGAGGTTTGTGACGCAAATCGTCCATTCTGCCTCCGGGTAATGTTGTGAAGTTGTAGTGCGATCAGGGGTCTATGAGGGTTCCTTTACGCGTTCTATAAGGGTACTTAAAGGATCATGGGACTTAGTAAGTAGGGTTATAACTAAGGTAAGTATACTTATAACCCCAATTAGGGGACTTATAGCCTTACTTACTAAGTCCCATGGTCCTCCAAGTATTGTAGGGCTGCTTTACGGGTTGCATGGAAAGGCCCCAGTCGACTGCACTACGAGTCATTGGCATCATCGTTTCCTGTCCCAAACCCTAAAACCCTAAAGCTCTAAACCCTAAACCCCAAACCCCAAACCCTAAGCCCTACACCCTAAATCCTAAACCCTGAACCCTAAACCCTAAAGATGTGACGGTGCTTTTTTTGAGGCCACGCCTCCCACCCCCTCTGTCCCGCAAACAGCCCTCGAGGGCTTTAGGGTTTAGGGATTTAGGAGTTGAGGGTTGAGGTTTTAGGGTTTAGGGGTTCAGGGTCAAGGGTTTGGGTTTAACCGCAAGGAGAGGATGCGCAGCGCCACCACTCAGCAGATGCTCCCGGAGATCTTGGAGCTCTTCGACCGCGCGGACGAGGATCTGGGGCTTTAGGGCTTTAGGGGCGTAGGTCTTTAGGGTTTAGATGTAGGGTTCAGGGGTTTAGGATTTAGGGTTTGTGGGGAGGACGGAAGTGGCGAGCTTGCCATCGACGAGATGCGCCGTTTTGAAGAAGCAGGGCATGTTCCCGAGCAAATCCTGGATCGGGCTTCCGTGAGCAGCATGACAGAGCTCTTCAATGTCTTGGTAGCTTGGCTTGTGAAGCTCTGGGTCTTCGGTGCTTTAAAATTTGAAGGTTCCCCCCCCCTAAACCCTAAACCTTAAACCCTAAGCGGCCTAAGCTCGATCCCCGTTAATCCCCCCCCTCCCTTCCGGAGCCTGGGTAATATCAGGATGTGGACAAGTCCGGCGTCGTGACTCGTGAAGAGTTTGCGGAGGGGCTCCTGGACATCTTGCTCCGGGACGTTTCTGTCTCCTCCCTGCAGCAAATGAAGATTCTTGGACAAGATACCAGGATTAATATCTGCTAACTGTGAACCCTTCACATGCTGCTGTGCTTCACGATGGCAATAGCACGAACAACTGCGATGCCAGGCATGGCGATCTTGGATTTACACTACACTCCTGCAGCCCCCATGCGAAATTCGGAAAACCTTCTTGGGGTACTATAACCCCAGTCTAATCCCTAAACCCTAAACCCTAAACCCTTCAACCCACTTGGGGTACTATAACCCCAATATAGTCCCGAAGATTGACCTTCAGTTCTCCGAAGACACGAGACAAGTCAGACAAGCAAGGTCATGGGGCTGCTAGATGCCACGGTATCACGGGCAGGCAGAGCTATAAGGCATCCTTTTTATACAAGAAGGACGGACATAGGATTTTCAACAGCGCCTGGGTTCTGAGCTCCTTTTGCAAGGTGCCATGCCCCTGGACGAGGGTTCAGGGTTGAGGGTTTTGGATGGGTCTAGGGTTCAGAGATAAGGGCTTCGGGTCTGGGGCTCAGTGGTTTAGGGTTTAGGGTTTAGGAATCGCGAAACCCTAGACTGCAAGGCGAAATTCTGAGCCATACCTTGCTCGAGATCCCAAGATTTTCGGCACGAATCCTGATATTGAGGGATCGGCATGGTTCAGGGCGGGTGTAGGGTTCCGGGTTTCGGGTTTAGGGTTGATTCCTTGAGTTTTGGGGTTTAAGGTTTTTTTTGGGGAGGTTTTGGGGTTTAGGGCTTACTGGGTTCTGGAGTACCATACTTGAGTACTTTCTTTTGGACCTGTTCCTTAAGGGAACCATTGTGAAATTAAAGTCTATACTTGTTTCTCCCTGGTTGCTTCAAAGTCTAGCGGGTGGGCCGGAGGGGAGGGCGGGATCCGTTTTGAGGCTTCTTTGAGGGTTTAGGGTAACGGTTTCTGTAGGGGTCCAAATTCTGGGCTTCACAAGTAAAGGGCTTTGGTACAGGTTCTATACTGGTTCTATAAGGCGTTCGTTCAGTTTTTTAGGTGTGAGAAAAGTTGTCAATGTCATTCAAGTGCTTGTTGGAGCTTTGGCAACTTTTTCGGGTTTGTTAATTATCCTTTAAGCGTTTTAGGATGCTGAGAAAGGGTCCTTAGGGTTGTTTGCCGGGTGTAGGCTTTGCTAAGGAGTGCAGAGAGGTGGCAAAGTTCTGGTATTAGCGTTTCGGGTCTAATGAGTACTATTTTGGGGTTCCTTATTATACTGATAGTATGATGGGCCCCAAAACCCTATTTTAATTGCTAAGGCCCCTACATTGCGTAGGATTTAGAGCTAGGGCTTTCGTGCATCGCTCTTTGGGGTCTCGGGCTGCATTGGGTTTTGGGGGTGTAGGGAAGATAAATGGGTAGCTCTCTAAATTAGGGTCCCCTTTTAGGTCCCTAAACCCTAAACCCTAAACCCTAAACCCCAACATAGTACGGCACCCTTATACAAAGGACCGAGAGAGGGACCCTAGTTTAGAGAACTACCCATATAGCAATAGAAGGTTGAACCCCTAGGCCCTAATTCCTTTAAACAACAATGCACAGAAGAACCGCGCACATAGATCTGAACATGTCTGGGATCTAAGTTGTTGCTTTTGTGTCCATGCCCTCGTCTGGTTCTTGTTACGGAAGTTAGTTCAAGTTGCCATAATAAGGAAGCCATATTATTTGCTTTAGATCCCTATGTTATGGTAACTTAAAATCAAATCCCTAAACCCTAAACCCTCAATCCCTAAATCCTCAATCCCTAAACCCTAAACCCTCCCTAAACCCTAAACCCTAAACCCTCAATCCCTAAACCCTAAACCCTAAACCCAGTCGTTGGTTTTGGCGTCTCAGGGGATAGTGCCAGCCTTGCCAAAGTCCTTCCAGTCACGGGGTAGTTTTCCAGGCCACAGGAGCAGTCCGTGAAGCCCTTATGAGACAAAAACCCTCTCATGAGACTAGTAATAACAAGAATGATGATACTAGTAATGATAAAAATAAAGCGCAAATGCGCATAATGATGATAATTTGATGATCATTGCAATATCCCTAACCCTAAACCCTAAACCCTTGTGTTCTTCGGCTTGAGCTCTGGTTGGAACGTTTATGCATGAAGGGGCTGAAGCTCGAGAGCTCAATTTCGGGAAAGCCCGAGGATGCTCGAAGATCTTGAGTTTGCGGGTTTAGGCTGTAATACTAGGGTTTAGGGTTTAGAGTTTGGGGGTTTAGGGTTTAATATAGGGGCCTAGGGTTTAGGGTTTAGAGTTTGAGGGTTTAGGATAGGGGCCTAGGGTTTAGGGCTTAGGGTTTAGAGTTTGAGGGTTTAGGGTTTAATATAGGGGCCTAGGGCTTAGGGTTTAGGGTTTAGAGTTGTGGGGTTTAGGGTTTCATATAGGGGCCTAGGGTTAAGGGTTTAGAGTTTGGGGGTTTAGGGTTTATTATAGGGACCTACACAGAAACCAATATTTTGTTGCGGGGGTCCTTATTATAACTATGATATAGTGGGCCCCAAAACCCCTATTCTAATTATTGAGGCCCCTATATTAGGTTCCTTTGGCGGAGCTGTCGCTGCACCCCAAACTCCTCGAACTTCGACCCCTAAACCTCTGAGTTTAGGGTTTAGGGGTTTAGGGTTTAGGGTTTCCAGACCGCCCCGGCGTGAGGAAAGCGAGGGCGGAGAATCTGGTATGCCACGTTGCGGGCTCAGTCGCAGAGGATCTGAGGACGTCGCAGCCAAACAGGGCTGCCCCATAGTAGTTCCTTTTTGGGGGTTACCTTATAGGATTCTATATATGAACCCCAAAAAGGAGCTAGTTTAGGGCCTATGGGTAGTGCTACTGTTGATGGAGGAAATCTTGCACCACTTTAAGTGGCCGAG